AACTCTTTCAGGTGGACAAGGGAGACATGCATAAGGATTTATACTGCAATATTCCTTTTTAGGAAACAGCAGAAGGCTACCTAGGTGTCTCTTATGGGAGAATGTTGAAGTAACATCAGCTATATGTGTGTAATAGGATACTATGTAGTGATGAGAATAAATGGACTATTTGCATAAGCTGAATGTAGAAACATATGAAAAATAGATCATAGTGAATTTTAAAAGAAACACATTTATATCAAAATTTATTTGTAAACTTATCAAAAATATAAATTAATAGTTCAAGTAGTCACAAATACACATATAAAACAAGAAGGCTGGATAGCAGATTGAAAGCAAACATATTTAACCCACAAGAATGGGGGCTAATGTTGAAGGGGAAATGGTTCTGCGGTTGAGGGATGAAGAGTAAAGACAATAGAACAAGAAATTAACAGAGAAAAATCATGAGTAAATAATATTCGTATGCCATGAAGCCATAAGTTTGATCAACTGAATTCTGTACTTCTGAATACTAAATAAATTAAAAATATATAGTAAAAGTACATTTTATTTGGCTCTATTCAGTGCTTAGGAATTTTCACTTTAATCGTTCTGATGTGTTCATTTTTCATCAACTCTTATAAACTGGAAATAGGAGAGGAGTGTCTCACTGGTTTACCCATTACATCTTATAGTTCTTTCTCTCTGCCTTCTTCTCTCACAGTCACTCCTCTGAATTCAGGTGGGTAAATGTCTTAGTGGATTTTATTTTATTCTCTTCTTTCCTTCTAGGTCCTTGTATCAGGCAACCATGTGCCTAATAAGATCTTTCACTAGAAAAGTTTGAATCAATTTGTTCCTTGAATTTCTTTTAGAAGGAGAACAACTGTGTCCTCATAGTCCACACCTAAAACACTTTTCATATATACATACGTTCTTAATAAAGCAAAACTTTTATAAATAAAATTTAATTTTGAAGGTACAGAGAATAGCAGTTGTCTCAGGCAGATGATATTTAAGTAAATATAAATCTTACAGTCTCTTTCTCAAAATAGTTGAAATAATTTTACTAATATTGGAAAATCAATGGAGTCACTAGAAAGCACAGAAAAACTTGAATTGGGCAACAAAATGGGAATAACCTAAAATGTAAATTCATGTACCTTTATAATTAGATTTTTTCCTCAGGATAAATGATTTGTTTGCATGAAAGAAATCAATAATCAAAGAGATGAAAATCTCAAATCAAATGTATAAACATATGTGAGACTGATTCTGGACTCACCATTACCTCCCACGTATCTATTTTCTCCTCCCAGCACTAAAGCTCTCTCTCTCTCCTCATCTACCTGTATCGATTTATCGATCTTTCTATCCCTCTACACTGGTAGAGCAAGTTTTGAGAGCTTGTTCTTCTTTTTCAAGAATCTCGTAGCTACTTCTGGCCTTTTACATTGCATTTAAGTTTTAGAATCTGCTTGTCATATGTTACACACATGTTCACACACACACACACACACACACACACATTGGGATTACATTGAATCTATACGTAAATGTGAAAAGAATTTATATTGTTACGGTACAGTGTTTTCAAAATGATGAATGTATTATATCTTTCCACTAAGTTAGGTCTTTTTAAAGTAAATCTCAGGAAAATTTCTACAACTTTTCTCACATAGGATATTACACTTCTGCTAGATTTATTCAAATTACCTCACATTTTTTATGAATGGATCTGGTAGCTTATATCATTTCATTTCAAACAGTATAAAATCGTATAGTAGTTTTGTATGCATCAATTTTGTATCCAGCTACCTTGCTAAACTGTCTTGTTTGTGAATGTGTGCTTTTATTTATTTATGTTTTGGCAAGGCAGACTGGCCCTGAGCTAACATCTGTTGCCAATCTTCCTCTTTTTCTTTTTTTGCTCCCCAAAGCCCCAGTACATAGTTGCATATCCTAGTTGCAGGTCCTTCCAGTTCTTCCATGTGGGATGCCACCTCAGCATGGCTTGATGAGCAGTGCTAGGTCCACGCCCAGGATCCGAACCAGCGAAGCCCAAGCTGCTGAAGCAGAGCATGCAAACCTAACCACTATGCCACTGGGCTGGCCTCTAAACTGTCTTATTAAAAGTAAGGATTTCTTTACAAATTCCTTTGATTCCAGAGATCTTATCATTATGTTTTTGTACAGACTATATAATTCACATTTATGCAAATTTTAGCCTCTTGGTTGATTTTAATGCCTTCTTTTATTTCAACATTTCTGACTAAAAATCATTTTCCTTCTAGAGAAGAATGCTCTTTTTCTTTCTCTAAGGTATATCTGATGATGACAAATTCTGTCAGTTTTTATATTTATGGAAATGCTTTTATTTCTTCTTCATTTTAGAGAGATTATTTTTTCTGTGTAAAAAATTTGGGGTTGAACCCTTGTGCACTGCTGGTGGGAATGTAAATTGATGCAGCCACAATGGAAAACAGTATGAAGGGGCCGGTCCAGTGGTGCAGGGGTTAAGTTTGCAAGCCATGCTGTGGCAGGTGTCCCACATATAAAGTAGAGGAAGATGGGCACAGATGTTAGCTCAGGGCCAGTCTTCCTCAGCAAAAAGAGGAGGATTGGCGGCAGATGTTAGCTAAGGGCTAATCTTCCTCAAAAAAAAAAGAAAGGAAACAGCATGGAGATTCCTCAGAAAAAAAACAGTATGGAGAGTCCTCAAAAAAGTAAAACTAGAACTACCATATTATCCAGCAATTTCACTTCTTTGTATTTATCCAAAAACAAAAACACTAATTTGAAAAGATATATGCACCCCCATGTTCATTGCAGCATTGTTTACACTAGCCAAGATAGAGAAACAACCTAAGTGCCCATCCACAGATGAATGGACAAATTGTGGTGTATATATACACAGTGGAATATTACTCAGCCATAAAATGGAATGAAATATTGCCATTGAGGCAAAATGGATGGCCCTTGAAGGCATTATGCTAAGTGAAATAAGTTATACAGAGAAAGACAAAGACCTTATGACTGCTCTTATATGTGGAATCTGACAGAAAACAAAAGCTCACCGACAGAGAACAGATGGGTGGTTACCAGAGTCTGGGGTCAGGGAAATGGATGAAGGGAGTCGAAAGGTAAAAACAAAAAAAGAAGAAACAAACAACAACAAAACATCTGTTAAATAAATGAATATGTTGCCTGAACTGCAATCTGAATCCTCTCTCATAAAAAACAGGAATACAGAACTGACTTTACTCATTCAACTTTCATTCAATAAATATTATTTTTTTAACTTAGCATTTTTATCATAACGTATACAAATAGCACATGAAAGAATAAACACCAAGTTAAGCATATGGAGACAAAGTGATAAATTCCATTCTACTATTTTTTCCCTTGAGCACAAGATCAGCTTTGATGCTCAGCAATTGAAATACTGTATTTTTATAGGTTAATAGCAAATCACTTGCTTATCGTGTAATTCTCTAACAAAACCAAAAAATAAAGCATTGTTGAAAAACTTTTTAAAAATACCTCTCTTTACATCTGGGCATTATGTGAGGTCTCTGGCCACTGAAAAGACAGAATGTGCCATGCCTCTGTATGGTTTCGGGGCCACAGAAGCTTGACAAACATCCTGACACCCTCTCTTTCCCTTAACAGGGTAGGGAGAATTTATCACAGAATGGAAGAGTCAGTGAGAAGTCAGAAATTAATGTCTAAGCCAAAAGGTTTCTAAATGTTCATATTATTTTCTAAACAAGAAATGTTAGGGAGCATTTCAAAATACAGAAACGTATATTCACTATAAATACTTAGGTTAGCAGAATGCTATCACTGTATTGTCTCATTTTAATTGAAAATATAAATGTTTTATGAACAAGCTGGCGGCACTTTCGAGATCACTTTATAAAGACAGATTAGAAACCAGCAGCTATTACTGTTAAGGTCATTAAACAAGGAGGCCATTGGACAGAGGCGGCTGTAAGGTCATAGCAGCCGATGCAAGCAAACCAAAACCCAACCAGAGTCAACGTGCTGGAAATGGAGAAAACGAACCTGAAGAACAACAGATCACAACAGGCAGGCGAGGAGGCCTTCCCAAATAAGGCACCCGCTTAAACTACAGCCAATCCAATAATTTCCTCTCTTTGTTTCCCCATCTTCTCCATAAAAACCTCTCCCCTAGCTCCTGTCAGTGCTGCATTCCTAACCATTTTCGGTTTCACGCTGCTAGATTTCAATCCATGTATATTCAAATAAACTCTTGAAAACTTTAATGTGCCTGAGTTTGCTTTTTAACGTTATTAATGTCTGCGATATCCTCCACCAACTATCTACTCCTCAGGCTCCTCTGTCTGGGCAATTTCCCATCAGACAGTCTCGCCCAGGTTATGAGACCAGCAAAATCCCCCCTCCAGCCCTGTCCAGCCCGAGGTAGTACACGATTGTTACTGCCTCGGTGGCACTGAGCTCCAGGGCCACAGGCAAGCGAGGCCCCACAGAACACCAAGAAGCATTAGGCAAAGGCTAATCTTATTTTAAATAGATTTAAATAGAGAATTTTAAAACGTACTGTAAATACATCTAGTTAAATCTACCATTACTTAACTACGTGGTGAAATTCAGATGTTACTTTTAAGACTTGCAGACTTCATTAATTATTATAGCTATTCCATCAGGCTTGATGTTGGTATGTTTGTGTTTGAGGGTTGGCGGACAGGACTAGTGGCTTCAGAGAAGGATGTGACTATATCTCCCATTCAGCACACCCTTGGGATAGCATCCACATTCCTTTCACCGCTCATAATTTCAGTGGGAAAAATGACACTTACTACAAACAACCTAAGTGTTCCCCACAAAATTAAACAAGGATCTACTGGGGGAGCAGAATACACTCCGAGTAGACCAGGCCTTCCGACAGGATTTTATTTTCTAGTTGCCACCAAGTCTGTCACATTTCTGTTGGTCATTTCGCATATGGGCCCATAACAAACAATGTCGCTTACCTTGAGAGGAGCATACACCTTAAATTGGATAGCAAGGTCAGATTCTGAAGAGCGATTTTCTTTAAAGGATAAGTCTTCACAATGAAAGCAGGAATTTCTGAAAGTGCCACATAATCCGAGAATTTAGTTAATTTGAAAAAAAACTGAACATAAAACCCTTCCAGTTGATAAAAATTCAAAACTACACATACACTAAGCTCATAAAATATCATATGCCATATGCTTCTTCCATTCACATGATCTCCACAGGTCCTCTTACTTCAGATAATAAATCTAGTTGACATCTAGAAGTTTTTAAAAATGATTTGCTGCTGTTGTGATGGTGCTGGTGGAATGGTTTTATACAATTTTTGATTGATTTTCTCTCCTTGAGATGCTCCATCACACATCCTCTTTGGTGCAACAATCAAATGCACAGGCAAAAGGGAAGGAAGATGTTTGTCATAAGAAGTACTCTCCTGGCTCCCAGGATTCTATCACTACTTTTGTTGTCCTTGAGATAATCTCATTTATTTGTTAGCCTTTACTTTTATATAGCTTTATCGTCGTTGAAAGTCCAACTTATGTTGGTTTTTGTACATGAAAAGAGCCATTTCATATAGAGACCACTGAGGTGTCGCTGTTAAAATCATTGAGTTATAAAAACATTGTACAAATAGGTATAGAATATTGGAAGAATATGGTCGGCTTTATTTTTGAATCTAAATGATACCAGGAAGGGAGGAAAGTATATGAATCACTTGGACATGCCAGGAAAACTGGTGGTACTTACAATCCAGACGCCTTCACATAACTCGTGAGGTGTTTCGAAATATAAGCCCAGCCTCCCTAGCATCAGCAACCCTCCCGTCATTCCTAATAATTATCTTTCTGTCCACGCTGTAGCCACTGCATCTATTATTTCCTTTAATTGAAATGCTCTGTCCCCTCTTATTTTAGTAAACTCTATTCATTCAGTTAGCCAAAGCTGAGAATCCTGGAAAAACTGACCACAACAACAGTGCTGTGAGCAAAGGGCTGGCTCATACCAGATGTGAAGGGGACCCAGGGAGGGCTTCTGAAGGGTGGGAGAAGGATGATTTTTTTTTTCTGAGGAGCATTAGCTCTGAGCTAACATCTGCTGCCAATCCTCCTCTTTTTGTTGAGGAAGACTGACCCTGAGCTAACATCTCATTCCTATCTTCCTCTACTTTATATGTGGGATGCCTACAATAGCATGGCTTGCCAACTGGTGCCATTTCCACACGCGGGATCCAAACCGGCGAACCCCGGGCTGCCGAAGGGAATGTGTGAATTTAACTGCTGTGCCACTGAATTTAACTTTGGCCAGCCCCAAAGCATGTGAAATTATCATGGCCATTACTATGTGTTTTAGAACTTCACTAAAACATACTGCCGAAATATCTGATTGCCTTTTTTGTTAAAATGTGCTTTTAAAAATTCAGACGAATGCAAAGTTGATTTTATTCATCCAAGGATAGAACTTGGAACTGCAAAACTCATAATGTTTCAGAAGAAGATCAGTGCAGGATTCATCTCAATGGTTCCAGTGTGGGAATGCAAGGATAATGAAATGAATGAGAGGAAACAGACTTAAGCCACAGAAAAATGAATGAAAAAATTATATGGTTACCAGGTTAACTAATCTTTTAAAAGACAGTGAAAGAGTAAAAGTGAGAAAAATAAGCAAAGATAAATTTTACAATGCCAGCAAGTACAAATTTAAATTTGGAGGAAAGTACGCCTCCTTAGGGAATGATAACACTCAAACTACTTTCAATTACTCATAAAAGTTAACTGTATCTTCAGGAATATGGTATAATAAACAAATGGTATGGCATTGTAGAAACATTTCCCTAACTTTGGATTAGACAAACAATGTTTGTGAACAGGTGTGTGTGTGTGTGCATGAGCATTGATTGTAAAATTAAAACATTACTTTAAGACTTTTAGGCTTCATAATTTACCATATACATACATGACATATTCATATACACATACACACACACGTTTTACTTAATTTTTTCCTTTCAGCTTTTGGTGCTAAGGAAAAATTGATAATTTTTATGCCTTGTAATTTATATCTATGGTCTGGCAAGTGGTGGAAAGCTCTATTTCTGGAGACAGACATATCTGGTTTATTTCATAACTCTATTAGTTTCCTACAGCTGCGGTAACAAATTGCCACATCCTTGAAACCTCAAAACAACAGAATGGCTTTTTCCTCACAGTTCTGAAGGCCAGAAGTTCAAAGTTCACATCACTGGACTGAAATCAAGGTGCCAGCAGGGCTGTGCTCCCTGGGGAGGCTCAGGGGACAACCCTGTTCCTGGCATCTTCCAGCTTCTGGGGGCTGCCAGCATTCCTTGACTTGTGGCCACATCGCTCTAATCCCTGCCTCCATGGTCACACCAGAGTCTCCTCTGTGCGTCAGTGTGTAAAATATCCCCCTGCCTTCCTCTTATAAGGATACATGTGATTGTACCCGGGTACGCCTGGATAATCTCCCCATGTCAATGTCCTTAACTTAACTATATCTGCAAAAATCCTTCCTTCTGCCATTTAAAGTACATTCTCAGATTCCAGGGATGGGGAGGTGGATACCTTTTGGAGGGGTATTTTCTAGCTTACCACATCCACTAACCATCTACAGTCACCTTTGGAATGTTACCAAAACTCTCTAACCCTTAGTGTCTTTCTCTCTAAAGTGCTAAAAATGAAATATTTACCTTATAGGGATGACCAATAAAATATAGAATACAAAGCATCAAGCACAATTCTTGATACATCATAAATATCCATAAATATTGTCTGTTATTGTCATTGTTTCTATCCTTGCCCAGTGCTTTTGTTCACTAATATCCTACAAAACTGTTAGCCCTCCACTCTGAGAAGGATATTACCGCATTACTGGTCCACTCTTTACAAGGTGTCAGTCTCTTCCTACTGCCCTGGCCGTTCCCTAGTTGGCCATCCTTTTGCTCTGATTCCTCCTCTGGTAACACAAGGTCCCAGCTGTCAAAATAGAATGTTAATAAGAAGCTACTTTTATGTGAGTTTAGATTAATGACTGCACAAATTAGGCCAAGATTTACACTGAGTACCAAAGAGAATTGCCTGAAATATCACCTCACTAGAAAAATTTTAACCTGAGAGTGAAGGCTGGTTGTTCTACAAGACTGTTGACCATGTTTTATAAGGTGTACATATATGTATATGTATATATATATATGATTCCTTATTTCTGACTCTGAATTTGAGAACAAATGCTTATTTTATAATAGGAAAAATATAAAATAGTAGAAAATATGTATCATCAGAGTTAATCCAGGAAGATTGCTGTGAAAGTAGTTGTGGTGATAGAGTTTTTCAATCTTCCCGCATCTCTATGTAAAAACAACCCCCATTCTAAACCAAGCCTGCTGCCTTACAGCTTCTCACGTTATTCTTCACATGTCTTTCAAGTAGGCAACATCGTCTGTAAATGGACATTTCTTTGCATAATTATTTGATTTTCCCACTAAACAGTAAGATCCAGGAAAGCTTACAGTGTATTTGTTCTGTTTGCCATTATAACCCCTGTTCTTAGTCAATGGCAAGCACTAAGTAAATATCTTTGAACAAATATGTTTCTGTAGCATTCACCCCCTGTTCTAGTCTTCCTTTATACAATCATGTCAGTTAAATTAAGCTGTCAATTAATCTGCCGAATGGATACGGGATAACTCACAGAGAAATTTTAATATTTGTATAGTGAATATGTGAAGAACACTTCTGACCCTATAGGTGAAAATTTTCATTTCGTTTTACCACACAATAAGTTATAATCAATTTTTATGCATTCATATATTTAAACTATTGTACAAAAGTCAACACTGCACTATTTTTCTAGATTTTACATCAAATATTTTCTAAATAGAGGACGTAAGACCAACACAATTTAGGAAGCAAAAAAATGATGCTGTTTTCCCTGAAAAATAATTTTTATTAATATTCCACAACAGAAAAAAAATCTTTGTTCACCTGTTATGAGCAACACATTAAGCCTCATTACTAAATAAATTGTTTTTGTCAATATCCTTAATACTTTTGGAGGAGGGGCTGGTTTAAATTCACACTAGTAATTAAGAACACTATTTTACTTTAACAATTTTTTTCATTTCATACTTTTGAACAAGAAAAACTTTTTAAATTTCTATTTATGAAAAGAACACCTATTGAATATTTCAATATTTTATATACAAGAGAGTCTGCAAACAAATGTAATTCGAAAATCTCCACAATGATAGAAGGTTAAGCAGATTCACTGAAGTATAAAATGGAACACATCTAAAATAATCACTTTGGTTAGAATGCCCCATTTCCTAAGAATAGGAGAAGTTGAAACCCATGCCTTGGTTAACAATCTCACAATATTCAGAATTTACATTTATAATTATATGAACGCAAAACAAATTTTCTAAATGTTTGCATATTGTGACACATTTAGAGTTCTATCTAGATAAGTTATATGTAGATAAAAGTAATTTTGCTTTGATTTTCAATCTGGCTTCTCCAAAACTGATGGCATCTGAATTATTATTTCACACCTAAGAACTACATATGTAAGAAAATACATCTCTCCAGAGGCTGGCTGGGTGTGTGTGTGGTGGGGGCAAGGAATGCATGTTTAAAAACTGAATTAGAGCCTTTAGAACATAATACACACATATACATTTGTGTGTGTGTGTGACTGCAAACAGCATATGAGGGAAAAAGTCAATTCATGAAAGCATCTTTTAAGACAATGTGTTTCCTAAGGTGACATCCTGATTGGTTACACACATATGTCATCTCCCGGGGGACTGTGGGCAGTCTGACCCCTGGTGAGGGAGGAGTCCTTCAGCGGCCACTGTGAATGGAGGATGGTAGGAATGGCAGTGACTGCCCAGCAAGGTGGCCAGAGAGACACCTCATTATAGAAAAGAGGCTGACCTTTGTCTGGGACAAAACAGAAAAATATGTTTATAAATTATAAAGGTAATAGAAATTAGATAACAAAACCGTTAGCTTATGTTATATAAACACAATGATAAAATTGTCATTTTAGAAGATAAGACAACTGAATTACTTAGTTAAAATGACAGAAATCCCACAGGACAAATTCTTTATAAATGCAAAAACAATAAGCTTAGTTAAAAATCTGGCACCAATACTGAAGTAGATGTTAGAGGATGCACAAATGGTGACAGATTAAAACTTTTTTTAAAAAAAAGATTCTACTATATTATGAAATTTAAATAATTTATATTGATGAAGATATTATGTATGCCAAAACAAATTAAAATATGGGTTAAAGTGTAAAAGTTCTCTGTGAAAGAATTTAAGTGGACTAGATTTTATTTGCTTATAAAATAGATGAAATGAGTCTCAGTTGAAATGTTTAAATATAGGTGCTATATAGGTTCATCTTAAACTAAACACATTTCTCTGTATGATTGTTTGCATGAGTGATATTTAGTAATATGAAAATGTTAATATTTAGTCTCTCCAAATCAATCAACAGAACGTATTTCAATTCATTTAGTCCTGGGTTAAGTCTATAGGATTTTCTTGGAAAATGACTTGTCCGTTTTGGACTTACTAAAATTCCTTAAAGAAACGTCATATAAATAAGCCATGGGGATGTACTGTACAGCATGGCAACTATGGTTAACAGTCCTGTACTGTGCACTTGAAAGTTGCTGAGAGTAGATCTTAAAAGTGCTCATCACAGGAAAGAAAACGTGTAACTGTGTGGTGATGGATGTTAACTAAACTTACTGTGGTAATCATTTCGCAATATATTGAAATACCGAATCATTATGTTGTACACCTGAAACTAACATAATGTTATATGTCAGTTATATCTCAAGAAAAAAATTAAGCTATTAAAAGAAGAAACAATGTAAAGGATATCTTCAAAGGTGTTTTCCCTCTTTGTCTTATACTCTTGGGACCATAGCATAGAGGAAAAGTATAGCTATGGGAATTGGAAAATGTTAGTTCATTTGTAGGTTGCACCACCCTTGTTTTCCTCATGTCTTTTCCAAATCTCTTTGGGTTTTTGTCATTAAATCTACACCTCAGGATTGAAAGGATATTATCATCTGACTGTTCTGTGGCAGAGGGGACAACAGGTTCGTTGATTAACCAAACCATTATGCTGACCGAAACATTATGATTAACGAGTAACCCACACTCACATTCCTGAAACTTGCCCGTCTTTATTTTACAGCTCAGGGAAGCTGCCCATTGTGGAATGACAAGGAAAAGGGAGCTGGAAAAGAAGGTTTACAACATCCCTGCAAAGCTCAAGCCAGATAGGGCTTTGGGTTTTGCTACCTTTTGGGGGTAAAGGAAGAAGGGTCTGGTAAATACGAGTTTTGTAGATGTGGTTGGTGATGTTTAGAGACATGGTGACATGAGGGTAGGGTTTAGTTTCCTCGTAATTAACTATCTCTACTTTCACCCATGCTATGCTCCTGTTGCTGAATGTTTTTCATTTCCTCAGAACACAATAGTTAACACAAAAATCAATTACTTCCTACAATTTTTCTTCCCTAAACTGAGAACTGGCAGATGTCTCAGGTGTGGAGGTCCTGCAGTAATCAGGAACTCTAACCACTGCTCTCTGAGTCGGCCCTTCACTGCAATGTGAGTGGAATGAATGTGAGCTGAAATTGATGAACAGTCACCCGCCCTAATGTTCTGGTTCCCGTCAACTAAACTCTCATCTTCCCCTACGTCTTTCCTCCCATCTCTCCTTCATTCATTTTTCTACTTGTCCTTTGCCCAAAATTTATCAAGACAGAGAAACAGATCTTGTGTGTTGTTTGTTTGCTTGTTTTTAGGAAAACAAAAAGTGACCCAGGCACCTGTTGCCGTTTCTTGAATATCACAGTTATATTTGAGGCAAAAACATCCATTCATTTGAATCACACAGGAGTTAAACAGATGGTGTCTGCCCTCCTTTATTCTCCATGGCTCTGCCTTTATTCTCTGCCTTATTTGATTTCCTTAAATCTCACTTTGGTATTGTTTTTATTTGTATCAGAATTCATTATATACTATCTACAAGTGTCTATTGTGACAAACAAATGGCAAGCAATAGGATATATTGAAGTATATGAGGAAGCCATTTGGTGTAGACCTAATTCGGACTAACCTTGTTTTTCCAAAGGGCCTGACATGGCTGTTGAGCATGCATTGTATACCTGCTTTAAACATTTGCTATGTCCCAAAGACAAGAATAAATGGCCTTAAGATAAAGATGCAACCTCCCCCACATTGACATTTCCTTAAGGGTAAGTATCTCTCTCTAGACTAGGAACTGATTGCTGCGATCACCTGTGACCACCCAGCTCAAGACAACAGACTTGCTCCCTGCTGTGTCCACCGAGACAGCAGACCTACTACCTGCTGTGTCCATCAATCGTTGTGCAGACAGAGCAGTCTCATGACTATTATAAAATTGGCATTTCAATCATACGTGAAACATGTTCTTTGAGGATAAATAACCACTCTGTACACCCCTCTTCTTTGGTGCCCTTCCATCCCTGGGAAGGAAGGCCCTGGGCTAAGCTAGTCCTCATATCTGACTGAGAATAAACTCACTCCAATTTTTGGTTCTGGATTATTTTCATAGAAAGTTGCTTATTACTTTATTCATAAATGATAAAAAAAGAAGCTGGAATTTAGTTGTTCATGGCTGGATTCATGGTCTCTGGTGGTCCCTTCACTTCCTCATTTTGCCCATCTTCATCAGAAGCAGAGGAAGAGAGAAGGGCTAGAACTCAAATTCCTCAACTTTAAGTGCTCTCACCTGAGTTATTAAAATGCTATGTTCTTGATATTATTGTAAATTATTACTTACTAATATTGTATAACTATTTTTATGACTTAGAACTCTCCAGTAATTAATCCATAGGATTTCTTATTCTAATATCATATAAAAACTATCACTGATTGCAAACTTACCAGTATCAAGCATTGTGCTAAGCACTTTATAAGACTATGTCATTTAATTCTCATAAATAACCCCAAGTGGTAAGTCACGGTTAGCCTCATTTTACAGATGAGACAAATGAGACTCAGAAAGCAGAATTAGTTTGCCTGAAGTCAACAAAGCTTATGGGGAAGAACCTGAATTCAAATCCAGTTTGAACAATTCTAAACTCTGTGCACTTTACAGGATATGGAGTTTAGAAATAAATTTGAATATTAAAAATAATTATAATTTTATTTAAATTTTAAACTAATTCTACAACTCTGCAATTTACAAATACTATGGGTCCTGAGTAGCTTGGGAAAAAATCATAAATCTAAAAACCCTACAGATACGGGGTAGCAACCTCTTGTCCTTCAGTGTCCTTAGCCACAGATTGCCACCCAAACAACAATGAAAAGAAAAAATGTTCAATTTCCTAAATCACCAGCCATAGGCTCAAATCAAAATAGGGTTAAGACTGTTCTTCAACAGTGTAAGCTTGGGCACGTTTAAGTGAGTTATCCAGACACAGAGGTTCCAGACAGCAGAAACTCTAGAATTCACCGAGGCAGCACAGGAAGATCCCTCAGCACAGAGAACGTGGGGAGTGCTCAACAAAGGGCGGCCACATTTTTCATTCTCCCATCTTTAGATTTCTCACAAATAAGCAAATCTTTTGTTACCGAAATTTCAGTCTCTGAACCTGATGCCAATCCGAATAACAAGAGCAGAGTCTTGAGTGAAAAGGAAAGGTTTTACTTTGCCAGGCAGAGGGAGCAAAGCAGGGGCTGGTGCCTCAAGAATTGCTAGCTCCTTGTTAAGAAATGGGTAGGGATTTTTATTGGGGGTTTTTGGTAGGGGAGGGGGTGTACATAGTTTTGGCCTGTGTTTTCCCACCAGTTTGCATTTGGCCTTGAGGCTATTTGCAGGGCAAGATAAAGAATTTACAGATGGGCATCCTCGGCTGTTTGTCTCTGGTGGCCAGTGGATTCCTCTGGGAAGCTTCATATTCTCTGGACATTAGTTTCTCTGTAAAGAAACTTCAAGGACACACAATTAGCTAAAACTTTAGTGTGATCTCAGTGGCAGGCCACCTGGACTTTAACAATTTGCAACTTCTATTTGGTTGTAAAGCTCAGGGAGTCAGAGGTCAAAGAAAGAAATATTTACATATGAGTGTAACTAAAGAAGCAGGGAGGGCCCGGCCCCATGGTGCAGTGGTTAAGTTCGCACGTTCCGCTTCTCAGTGGCCTGGGGTTCGCTGGTTAGAATCCCGGGTGTCGACATGGCATCGCTTGGCACGCCATGCTGTGGTAGGCATCCCACATATAAAGCAGAGGAAGATGGGCACGGATGTTGGCTCAGGGCCAGGCTTCCTCAGCGAAAAAGAGGAGGATTGGCAGCAGATGTTAGCTCAGGGCTAATCTTCCTCAAAAAAAAAAAAAAAGAAGCAGGGACCCGGGAAGGCGTGCTTTTGGTCTTAACCCCACACATGCTGGGTTCACTGTAGGGGACCCAATATCAGGGCAGATACTAACTAAGCGCCACTAACATTTTCATAATTCAAGAGAAAAGAAATGAAGTAAGATGTAACACACACAACACTCTTACAAAATAAAGTCGAACGTACTGTTTTGACAGTGCTTTCTCCCTCCGTGCTCAGCTGAGTTAAGTGGATGACATGTTCAGTAGAAAAAGAAGAGTATCTCTTTTATTTTCAAATTTTACAATTTCTCAGTTCTCAAGATTGCAGAGTAGCAATTACAATTTGGTAACAGTTCTCACTGCAATATGGTCTTTCCGTCCTTAGACAACGCTGGCTGTGGTGCTGAGGCAGCTGTGGATCTTACCCAGATGTGGTCTGACGCAAGACCCCTCCCAGGCCTGGCTGCACCACCCACTTCTCCATGTTCTCCAGCACAGCTCAGGACCGTCATCACTGAGAACTTCGGGAATCACTCAGGGAAAGACAGAGAAGGGAGCTCTTGGAAGACAAGGAGGAAGAAGAGAGACAGACATTTGTGATGAGGGAACACAAAACAAGGAGGGCTTCATTTCTTAGGACTTAAGAGGTGAACAGAAAAATTCAGTTGCCATATAATGTTTCTTGGATAAATTTCGGTAGTCCAGAGTTTTCTTGCATCGTTCTCCTAATTTTCCCCTCACCTCCCCACTGCACAGATACAACCTGGTCCAAGTGTCTAGAACCTACGTCTTGGCCATTCCTCAAGCATTCAAGGACTTCCAAGATAATCATCCTGTCGTTAGGCCAGAATTAAGAAGATGTTGATGACAATCCTCTACTCCTTAATGTCACGGTGTCCCCATGCTGTGACCTTAGTAGAGCTACGGTTATAACTGTGTTAAGGACATTTTCAGAACTATTATTGATAAATGGAAAGTTCTCACCCAGGAATATCTGCAAAGGTGGCAAAACTAACCTATAAGCAAGTAATTTTCAGAAAGGTCATCAAGAGGTCATATCTCTTTTATTCTGAGTAATTATACTGCAAACTCAAAACAAAGACAAGAGTAGAGGTGGTGAAAAGTAGATAATATCAAGAGAAATGGCACACCAACATGATTTAACTTACAGACCTTTCATGTATTTGCTTTCTTCAGCAAGCTAACTGCAATGTCCGCAAGCCCGATGGTGCAGCACCTGTACAGGGACCGACCAACCTCGCTCCCAACCTCAGCTGCTGCTTACTCTTAGCTGGCACATCTAGTGGTTTCTTCTTGCAGACCTTTGCCCTATTTTCCTGAAGGTCAGGTGTCCCCTTATGGTCAGCACGTGGCATACTGAAAGAAGCTCAGCCCACTCAAGAAAGCAGCAGGGAGTCAATGTTAATGCTCAAAATGTCTGCCAGGCCAGATGGCCCTAGAAGCTAATAGAGCCTGGGGATGCCTCACATTCTATTGATTGCAGTTGCATCTGCCATATTCTGGCTGGTGACAAAGACTCTCCCCATCACCAAACTTTAGACAGCCTCCTCTGAACCCTCTTTTTGTCTGGGCCTCATCATTTGGCTTCTGTCCTTGCTGAGCCTGCATAGCCCAGCTGTGGCAAGAATCTTACTAAGTCACTTTAGTGAGAATACCCCCCCATCCTTGATATCTGATCAAATTCCTTATCCCCTTCTCTCAATATCAGATCACCCTAGCCTGCCTTCAACAAGAATTCTATTATGTTGGTTCAGTAAGAATCCCCCTACTCTTGAAGTCTCCTGTTAGCAATTTTCTATCCACTGACCACTGACCGCGCTCCCCACCACTGCCTCTGCTCCTTGGCTATAAATCACAGTGTTTACTGTGTTCAGAGTTAAGCCCCATCTCTCTCCTCAATTTCCATAGTCTTGATTACCTATCACAATAGTCCTGAATAAAGTCTTCCTTTTTGTTTTAACTAGTGTCAGAATATTTTTTTCTTTAACACCAGTTACATTCAAAGTAACATTAACCCTTACATAATTGACTATATAATTTATTTACAAGTACTTCTCCTTATCAATGCATTCCAGAACTTTTCAAAATACGTTTACAATTTTGGAGTACAGCAGGAATTTATCTCTTTTGAACAAGGTAGCCATATGCGTAGGCAGAAGGACATAAATAGATTTCCAAATTTACTACTCTTGAGAAAAACATTTTTATAAGCAAAGGAACATTTTTGTTGGGAAAGCATATTCATGCATAGCAAACAAGTTAAGATTCACTCCCATTAAAACACAGCATGAGGTATTCTTTAAAAACTATACTGCACACATCACACTAAGGATCATGTCTTTATCGTTATTTTCATTGCTTGTAGCTAATGACATTCAATCATAACGTAATTTTAAAACGTGAACTATAGGGACAGCATTTTTGTGACATTTCTGGAAATTATCTTACTCACTTGGTCTAAGAAATTTAGGGGAAAAAGGCCTTTAGGACCTCGTAAAATTATAATTACAACCTTCAAAAATCTCAAATTGAGAAGGCAAACTTTCACTGAGATGTATTGTCAAACATACTAGTGTCAAGGCTCATGTTTCATTCAATTCCAGGAACGAAGGCAACCTCACTTATTCTAAAAATACATTTGTATTATTCATATGCACATGGACTTTGTAACAAGATTATTAGTATACAAGTAGCACTCTAAAAATTTTCTTGCTTAAACCCTTGGAGAGTCTCAAAAAAAATACAAACAGGATAACTCGACAATATTGGAAGTGAAAATTTTAAAAAGTAAGTACAATTGTAGAAAACTATGCCACATCATAATAAACCTATTTAAATACAGCAGCAGTTTTTAAAAATTACTTATGTGTTTAGTAGAATAGACATTGTATGTGTATGACACAAATTAAAAAGTATGAAAAGTAATAAAATAAGAAGTCTCTTTCATTCCTGTCCTTAACCTTCCACTTCTCCAGTCCCTTCTCCAGGAAGGCCCCGTCTCACTAACTTATTATGAATACCTTCAGATAGACAGACGGACAGATATGTGACCTTTGACAAATTACATAATCCCTCCAAAACTTAGTTTCCTACACTATAAAATAGGTGGAAGAATCTAGAATTGGGTATATATTCTTTTTATATACAAATGGCATTATGTTCTAGTCACTATACTGTGACTTGATTTTCTTTTTCAAGATCTTGGAACTCATTCCTTATCAGTTACATAGTGGTGTCTCTATATTTTTAATAAATACACAGTATATATATATAAATATTAAATTTAAGAATATATGTTGATCAATACAATTATGAAATTGTGTCACTCTCAGACTTGGTGTAATGTTTGATACTGTTAACTGCCTTTAAAATAGAAAAGACTTCACCCATCCTGATGTTTACAGTAGCTTTCCTTCCATCAATTTTTCGCAACTTCAAATTTAATTGATTAGTAGCTCCATAGATATACCAGTAGAAAGTATGAAAGTTTAACTGTCACACATTCAACAAATTTTTCAGTTATTTATTGCTGTATTCAATAACATTTATTCAAAAGGTACTGTTCTAGGGGGCTGGCCCCGTGGCTGTGTGGATAGGTTCATGCGCTCTGCTGCAGGCGGCCCAGTGTTTCGTTGGTTCGAATCCTGGGCGCGGACATGACACTGCTCATCAAACCACGCTGAGGCAGCGTCCCACATGCCACAACTAGAAGGACCCACAACAAAGAATATACAACTATGTACTGGGGGGCTTTGGGGAGAAAAAGGAAAAAATAAATAAATTAATTAAAAAAAAAAAAAAGGTACTGTTCTAGTGGCTAAAGCTACAGCAATAATCATCCTAACACATATAACCTCAAGAGCTTTCACATTAGAAAAACGAGAAAAACAATTTGCAAATAATTTTTTAAAAACAGTTTTCAAGAGCTATTCTTTTTTCAGATAATAATTATTATAATATAATAATAATGATAATTCCTCTTAGGAAACCAGAAATAGACTGGAGCTTCCTTAATCTGATAAAGTACATCTACAAAAAACCTAAAGCAAACATCGTACTGAACACAATACTCTTAACAGGTTTCCCTCTTGAAGCCAAAAAGGCCATTAATCTGCTGCTATCACCATGCTTATCCCACACTGTCCCAAAGCCCTAGGCACTGCAAGAAGGCATAGTAATGAGTTAATTAACATTGGAAAACTAGGAATAAAAGTCATTTTTCACAGGTGAATGTATATTTAGAAAATCATATGTATATTCAGAATATTCTGAATGTATACATAAGGAGTATATATATAGAAAAATATTAGAAATTAATAAGTAATTTTAGTAATGTCACAGGATATGAAAGCCTTTTTATTTCGATATACCAGTGTTCTAGTTATCTATTGCTGCCCAAAACTTAGTGGCTTATATAGCAACAACCATTGTCTCAAATCTCAAGGTTTTGTGGGTGAAGAATTCAGGTAGATCCTGACCAGGAAATTCTTTTGTTGTATGGAGCATCAATAGATGATTCTGTGGTATTCTGCTGGTAGATGGGCTAATCTGGAACACTCAAGATTGATTTGTTCACAAGTATGATGTCTTGATGGAAGTGGCTGGAATCTTAGGCTCATCTAAAACTGGGGACCAGAGAGCCTACACATGGCCTCTCCAGTATGGCAGCCTCAAGGCTAGTCAGAAAACTTACATGCCAATTCAGAGCTCCTAGCTGTAACATATCAAGAGGCAGGAGGTGAAAAGTGCCTGAGGTGGGACATTGGTCCAGAATCATTTCTATTAGCAAAAGCCATTACCACACTCATTAAGGCTCAAGGAGATGTGCCAACCACCCCATCTCTTCATGAGGTAACTGCCACAGCCAGTTACCAGCCAGGAAGCTTTGTGCCAAGAAACTATGCACCGATTATCTCCTTCAACCCCTTAAGACAATCTTTAATAGATGGGAAAATCGAGGCACACAGAGGTCAAGTAAATTGGGTAAGCCTTAAAAAACTGCCTCTTCATTAAAAAAACCAAAACTATACCAAGGAATTTGAGAGTATCCCTTTAGAAGAGAAATATATGATTTGATGATTCCACACATAGAATAAATCAATGCAAATTTCAAAAACACATGTATTCATAACAGTGCTAATCTGTTACACAATGTATTAAGAGAAAAATCTCTAGTGACAAAACGAAAACTTGTCAACAGCCATGTATGGCATAAAATCCAGTTTATTTAAAGCTCCAATGTAATGGTTTGAGGATGGAGGTGGAAAAAATAATGAAATAAAACATCAGAAAACATCATAAAATGCACCATATTTGTAATAGGGAAGTGTGTGTGTATGTGTGTGTGCGTGGTTTGCTGGATACAAAGAATGGGAGGGCAAAGAAAACATGCAGCTCTCAACCAGGGAAATCTAATAAGCAGACGTGACTGTAAACAGCTTTGTAAAGACAGGTACACGGTGCTGCGCCTGGCTGATACGACCGCTCCTGGCTGGAAAAGGAAAATCAGCACTGGGTCCACAGGAGCTGGTGAATTGTTCTGAGGTCAAGCACTACAAGAAATTGGTCAGTAACGACATTATTCTCAAGAAGCTAACTGACTGGTTCTTAACTTTATGCAAATTTTCTACCTGGCAAATTCAGTGTGGGGGGCAGGCAGCAGAGAAGGAACGTTTCATTTACTGAGATGTATAATTCATGGTTAATAAATTGTAACAAGCACTAATAAGTAGAGGAACAGGAGCTGAAGCAGAACATAAACAAAGAAGAAATAATTTTCCCCATTAAATGTACTCAATTAGCACAGCTCTCCTCCAGGGGCCAGAAAATAACGAGACTGTGACAGTCCTTGACTGTGAATACTGCTAAATCTTTAAAAACAAACAAAAAAATACTTAGGACAACTGTAAAAGATCTCTTCTATTACATTTGGAGAACCATTTAGAGACAATAAGAAAAGTAATTAATGTCTGTAAAATAACTTTCTATAACTCTGTATTTTTATAGCTACAAATACATATACACACATACAATCACTTCTTATGCTGTATGCACCCTTTTCAAAATAGGCTGAATTTTTAGGCACACAATGAATTGATGGAGAGTGCACCTGCAGTTGGCGCACACAGTAAGATGGGAATTTGCGAACACCCAAAACACTTCCTGAGATGAAGCACATTTTGTAGGATAGATAATAGAACCATCATTTGAGGACACGCTCTTGTTCAGCCTCTTCAAGCATTATGAGGAAGGTGCTATCATCTCCATTTCATATATGAGATGACCGTGGTTCAGAAGGTTAAGAAGCTGGCAAAGTTCTGCTCTGGAGTGTATCTGAAAGTTCAGCGCTGGTCTGCTCAAGTCTGAAACCCATTATCTTTTCACTTTGCATCTAGGCTTTTCTAGTAGAAGAAAGACAATTTCTGGATTCTACATGCATAAATTAAGGTGTATTTTGAGCCTTGACCATTGAGCTTTGACGAGTTTTCCAAAGTCATTGGGGGTGGGGAGGTGGCGTGTGGCAGTAAAGTGAGCTGTCCACTTAGAGGCCTTCCTTAAAACAAAATGATTGGGGGCCCCAGTAGCTGGTCTACTATGTATCACAAAGGAAAAGATACTCTAGTACCACATTAAATGATTAATTAAAGAGGGCATTAAAATGAGCACTTTCTGTTTGCATTACACCATGCCAGGGTCAGGGACAGACCAAAAGAAACACACTGCATGATGCGATCCACAAGAAGCCTACCACCTAATTTGAAGACATTAAGTGAAACATTAAATGGAGGGTAGTTTGAGATCTAGAATTTCAAATGAAACTGTTTCAGGAGTTAACTTAGGAATAAGACTCTCCCTAAAAATTAGTGAGGTATACAATTATCTCTGATGCTCTGGTCCTCCTGTTTCACCTGAGTATACCTGAGCTATGACCTCAATTGTGAAGTGCTCCCGACCTTGTCCTTTTGGCTACATTGCTTGGTCTTCCTCCCCTTAATAATAATCATACATGCCATCACAGCGGGAATGTTCCAGCAGTGTTTTCTTAGTTCCTGCACCACGGCAGGACTTCCTCCGCCTCTTGTACACCCTGCCACTCTTTGTCTCATAATCTGTTTTGTCTTCACAGTTCCTATCACATCTGAAATCACCATACATATTTATTTGTGAGTTGATTTTCTGTCTTTCCTCCCTGGAAGGCAGGCTGCATGAGGGCAGTGACTTGCCCTGTTGTCTGTCATTCCACAGCCAGCTGCTGGAAGTGTGCTTGGCTCATAGCAAGCACTCAAATGTTTTTTGAATAAATGAACTACAAAAATGATCACACTTGCTGAGTTTACACTTCTGGCATTTTTAAGGAAACTCATTTTACTCATTCTGGAATTTCACCAAAGTGTTTTTTAATTACACCATCCTTACTCAAGATCTAATTACCATGATAAGTAATAAATATATTGAGGATTTACTGTGCTAGGCATTTTATATGCCTTTGAATTCTCACAGATAAAGTATCTAACCTATGAGGTCCATGTCCTCATTTTACAGAAAGGAAAATGATGCCTACAAGGACTAAAGAACTTGCTCAGGACCACAGATAAAAACTGCCAAAGCTGGGACTTAAAGGCAGGGTTATCTCACTCTAAATCTCAAGCTCTTTCAAAGCTATCCAGTTACGCATCTGACAAGGGTAAATAAGAAATAAAGAGGGGGGGCAGAAAAAAATTTTCAGTATACAAATGTGTAAGACAAGAGGAAAATAGTTGAGTTCTCCAAAGGTACAAGCACAATGATGACATATTTGGTTAAGGGTTAGAGGCCAGTAAATTCATTTCATACGAGAAGTAAGTTTTGAATTTCTTGCAATAACAAATGGTAGAAAGTAAGTATATAAGTACCTTCAAGTATTTTAAATGTTATATTATAGATGGATAATAACTTACTCAGGAAAACCAGAGTGTCTTAGAATTATACTCTTCACCTGAAGAGGCTGAAGTCCAGGAGGCCAAAGTAACTTGTCACAAAATGTCCGACGTTTAGGCCAAACTTACCATGTGGACAGATGATGGGGATTCCAACCCTCAGAAGAGGTGTTCTGCTCACCTGATTTTACCACACAATTACTACGTTCCAATCAATGGGTGCTGCTCTCCCTTAGTGATGTTTTAAAGACTCTCACATAGTTCAAACTGCTGGAGACATCAGAAATGATTAAATCTAGTTTTCACACCTTATAAACAAACCAAAACCGAGATGAAAAATGACCTATAATTTGTAAAGTATTCTTACAGCCAGAGGCTCATTACATTCTTATAACAGCTAAGTGAAGTAGGAGGTATGGCTATTTTCATTCCCACTTTTACAGAGGAATCAGAACCAGCGTCGTGACTGGCTGGTGAAAAGTCACATAACCTTTAAACAGCCATCAACAGGGCTCTTACAATACAGGAACAAAAAAACGGAAAAGGAATACCAGATGCTGAGACTTGGTATTTCTAAAAGAGGTTGCATAAGCCTTATTCTATATGATTGGGATTTCCTTAAATCCAGTTTATAAGAAGCTTCATGTAGTACTCTGGAAGCACAGCCATTAGAGCTTCATTTCCTA